GCCGCTGGTGCTACAACAGCGTGATTTCCCCGAAGTGATGCTAGAGGCGGTAGCCAATGGGAGGCGCGGCCGCCCCCCGCGGCGACGCTGATTGGTTAAAACGCAGCCGGGCCCGGGGCGGCGGGGAATCCCGGGCGCCGCCGCGTTATACCCGAGGGCGCGCCCCGCGGGCGGCAGAGGCGGGTCGGCGGGCAGCGGGCACGGACGGCTCGGCTCGGCTCGGCTTGGCTTGGCTCGGCACAGGCACCGCACCGCACGGCACAGCGAGGTGGGTCGCGGTGTGTCCCGTCCCGTCCCGTCGCGGAGTTCGTCCCCTGCTTTGCACGGCACCGGGACTCCGGGTGAAGGCTCCCCGCGGGGTCCGTGGGAACGGCCCCGGGGACACGGCACGGCTTTGCTCGCCAAGACGGGGCAGCGCCGGCTTTCGCCGTGCGGAGGGGGTTTGGGGGAGCGGGGCTCATCGCGCCGGCAGCCTCCGGGTGGGTACCGGGCATCCCTCCGGAGGGCGGCGGTCGCGGTCCCTTATACAACGCGCGGGAGGGGACCGGGACCGGGACCGGGCGGGATGTCACGTCCCCCCGCGGGGCCGGGCATGTCCGGGCGCGGCTGCCGCTCCGCGGGCTCCGCCGGAGGCTCCGCTCCGCCGTTGAGCGTGTGCCAGCGCCGAGCCCCGGGGCCGGATCCCGCGGCCCGGAGCCGCGTTCCCGGCGGGGGGCAGCCCTGGCTGACCTCCCCCCGTCCCGTCCCTTCCCGTTCCCCCCCCGTTCCCCCCCAGCCCGGGGCGGGCACTGTCGGGGCCGTTGTCCCGCCGCCGAGCTCGTTGTTGGTGAAAGTTAGAAATGTATTGTTTGGGAAATCTTGGGCTCTCTGTCTTGGGGAAAAAAAAAAAAAAAAATAAACCACCGCAAAAAGGAAATTATTTCTGCAGAGGAAGGGCTGGGAGGGCTGCGCCGGGGCCGGCTGTTTGCCGGGGCCGGTCGCGGTGCTAACTGGGGAGATTGCCCCCTCCCCGCTCCCTTGCGCAACTTTATTAATAAACTTTTAAGAAGGCGACCGTGCCCGCGGGGAGACACCCGCACCCACTCCCGGGAAAACTGCGGGGGGGGGGGGGTCCCCCTCCCGGGCTGCCCTGTCCCACGCCAAGCTGAGCAGCCCACTTCCAGAATTTAGAAGCCGAGAGGTGGTTTTGGTGCTCACCGGGCAGAGCGGGAAGCGCTGCCCTCCAGGAGCAGGGGGAAGATACTGAAAAAGAGTTAAAGACCCTGGAAAAGCAGTTTTGGTTGCACCGATAGCGTTAGTGGTAATGCTGACGGAACGGAGGGTCAGGGAGGGGGGTGACGTTGCAGAATGGTTAAAATAGCGATGAGTTTTTTGCTGACCTGTTATTTCTTTCATAGACAATATGCCAGTGTCAAGAATGCGCATGAGGCCCTGGTTGGAAATGCAGATTAATTCCAATCAAATACCAGGACTGATATGGATTAACAAGGTGAGGGTTGTTTGTTACTGTTACTAGCATTATTATTACTTCCGTATCATTAATCATCCTTATTCTCGGAGGACACTAAACATAAGTCAAGATCATAAAGGAAAGAAGGACATGGAGAAAACTTGCAGGCATTATGTTTAAAAACCAACTATTTTTGTTTTCAGAAAAGGTAGCTCTGGTCAGTACAGAATGTAGTAGTTCCATTTTTCTCCTGGGAAAATTCCCAGGCGGAAAATGATAAATTAAAATAAAAGAAATTTGAACATGATGGAGAACCAAGAAAACTCCAGGACCTTTTCACTCCTGCTGCCCACTTGAGCCAAGTCACCTCCTGTCCCAGTTGAGTAGCTACTGTTACACTCCCAGTTGCTCCCAGTTTTAAGATTTGGCCTGAAAGAAACACTGTATTTTTTGGTCTGGAAGGCACATCCCTGTACCTGTAGCACAGGGTGAGATCAGTAGGCTTATTGAACCAGGTCTCTTTTCTCTGAAGCTTCTGTATCCAGCCTGAGGTGATATTTAAGCTGGAACACCTTTTCCTTATGATTCCTGCAGGGTCTTATGGGCAACTTTAAAAAGGGATTCTCTACCAAAGTGTACCCAGAAAATATACTGTAGCTTATGACACACTGACAGATTAGCTGCAATGCTTTTAAATGATTCTGCGATAAAATTGGCGATATTGCTTACTTCTACTGTACCATACCACATGTGGCCTTCCCAGTTTCAGAACGCTTAAAAAGTCTTGTATGCGTTGAACAAAACAGATGGAACAATGGGTGCTCAGTTAAGATAGAGGGCAGAGGGTTTATAAAGTTTCTGAGCTGCTGCTGAGAATTCTTTGATTAAAGCCATCGTTCCAAACTGGCACGCGATGCTGCTTTTTTAATTCAAGTCTCTATTGGTTTAACTTCAGGATAAGATGATGTTTCAAATCCCATGGAAACATGCAGCTAAGCATGGCTGGGACATGGAGAAAGACGCCTGCCTTTTCCGGAGCTGGGCCATTCATACAGGTCTGTGCTGGCTTTACATTTCCATCAGTCATACGAATATCTCAAACACGGCATTTTTTTGTCTTGACTTACACCTCAGCTAGTTATATTAACTACTAGTATATATGTCAGAGAAAATAGAAAAAGAATTTTTTTTTTGTGGGAAGAACTAGCACTGAAAATCTAAACACTCACCCCATCTCTTATTTATAGGAAGATATAAAGTAGGCGAGAAAGACCCTGATCCGAAAACCTGGAAGGCAAACTTCCGCTGTGCTATGAATTCACTGCCTGACATCGAAGAAGTGAAGGACAAAAGCATCAACAAAGGCTCCAGTGCTGTCAGGGTTTACAGGATGCTGCCTCCCCTGACAAAGGATCAGAAGAAAGGTAAGCCCTCCACAATCCAGCCGGGGTTATGCAGCTTCCACTACTGCGCTTTAACACCACTTAAATTTCCTGCTTGGCGTAGGCAGGGGTAGAACAGACCTGTTGGTAGCACCGGTGCTACTGGGGTCAGTCACTGGTTATTGCCATTGGTAACACTTTGTACAAGCGGTTCATTTTATCCCAAATTCTTTAAATGTGCCTAAAGGCATCATTAGGAGGCAATCGGGACTCGCTGCTGCTGACAGCAGTAGCAGAGCTTGCTGAGCAGGGCTCAAAGCTGCAAGAGCTCACACTTGCCTAAAATGTCACCCATGCAGCCCTTTCTCACATTTGTCTTATTTTTATTTAACAGAAAGGAAGTCAAAGTCTTCAAGAGAGGCAAGAAACAGGAGCAAGAGAAAGGTATGTGTCTGTAGAGGCAGCTGAAGAAGCTAGAGGTTTTGGTGGTTTTCATGGTTAATTTTTTTTCATATGGGAGCTTGTGCATTCTTAGACAAGTCTTCCATTCTTTGCCCTTATTTTTGTAGTCGTATGAAGACACGAGGACGGAGGAGTCGGCAGAAAGACTAACCAACACTCCTCTGCCAGATGACCACAGCGGCTACACCGTTCATGACTACGCGGGGCAGGAAGTGGAGGTTGAGAGCTCGTCCATCACCTTAGGTGAGACTCAGTTTTTAGCTCCCTGAGCAGAGTGGAAAGTGCCGTTTGTGCTAAACCCACAGTCTCTGCGCCAAAAGACAAAGATGAGTCTTGGGGCTGAGCCGTCAGACGGGCAGGGAGGAAATAGAGGTGGCTGTGTCTCTCCTGTGAATGCCAACTCCTCCTGGTGCATCCCGCAGACCTCTCGCCGTGCGAGGTGAGCGGCTCGCTGACTGACTGGAGGCCGCCGATGGAAATCACCATGGCTGACAGCACCAACGACCTCTACCAGCTCCAGGTGTCTCCCCTGGCTTCGTCCTCGGAAGGTGGGTATTTCTTTTTTCCTGCCCTGGTCTTTCATCGGTCTATTGGAAGCAAGCTGGAGGCAAGGCAGTGGGATGAAGAAGTGCCTGGGGGATCAGGAGAAGCAAGAGTTGTCGTGTAGAAAAAACAAACACACCTCCACTTGATGGATTTGGATGTCTGGAGCTACCAAACTGGCCAGGTTACAGAAGGGGCGTGTGCCACCTGCAGAAGTAGTTGCTGATGGGTGAAAGGCTCTGAAATACCATTTACTTTGCACATGTGGGCAGGCTTCGTCTCGCGGGCTCAAAGCGACGGCACGGACAGGTCAGCCTGTAAAGAAGAGGAGAGTTTTCCGAGCTGGGAGGTTGGGACTGGGACAGCTGGAAGGAGGAGGTGCCAGAAGCAGGACAGAGTTGGGTACAATAGTGACAGTGGAGGACACCATGCTTCCCACTGGTTCTTCACTCGGGCGGCAAAATCATCTTGCTCCTGTGTACCAAGCGGGCTCTGCTTTGGAGACTCTCGGGGAGGCATCTGAGCTCCTGGAGCCTTGCACCCCAACGTGCCCTTGTTGAAGAGCATCCGAGATGAAGGGCTGTGGGGAGCCTGGGGCATGGAGGTGCTGGTGGGCCTCCCTGCCTCAAACCCTGAGCCCCTCCTCGGTGTCATCCGTAGGGAGGGGGAAGTAGAAGGTAGTGGTGTTTTGTGACAAGAGAATATGAAGTGGGTTGTGTGGTGAAGAAGCAGAAGTGTGAAAGGTTGACATCTATGTCTATTTTCTTCTCTTCTTTTTATGTCCTTACAAAACAGTCACGGACGAAGATGAAGAGGAAATAAATTCGGAGATTTTTAAGGTAAAACCAGCCCTTCTGGTCAGAATAAAATTGGCCAAAGTTCCTGTTTGCACCAAGAGAGGAAGGGAAGCAGCTATCTGATCCAGTCCTCTATGAGCTGGACATACACTTATGTAATCCAAGACCCTTATTTAATGAGGAAGCCTGAAAAATTCAATATAAAAAGGCAGCTACTTTGTCCTCTCCAGCTCATGTTTGCACATCCATGGAAATATTTACTCTTCATGCGAAAGTCAGAGAAAGCTATTGAGTACTCCTAGAAGTAGAGGTTGCTCTGTTAGAGTCTGCAAAGGTTCTCTAAACTGTTTTATTTTGCCCTTCCCTCCACCTCTGACACGTGGCGCTTAATCTGAGTTTCCAGACATGTCACGCTCATCCCACTGATAAGATGGGGGTTTCATCACCGAAGGTGCTCCAGCCCTCCCTGTTTTGCATTAACTTTTTTTTTTTAACTGGGAGTAAAACAAGTTTTATATAACATAGCATGAGGAGATATAATATGATCTTTTTTGCTTACCTGTCTTCTAATTAAGGGGAAGGAATAAAACACTGCACCCACAGAAAAAAGAGCAGTTTTTACCGTCTCCTTATTCTCTTACAGCTGCTTGAACCAGCCCAAGATTGGCACACCACCAGCGTTGGGGGGAAAGGCTTTCTCACCAACGAGCCGGGCACACAGAGCATATGCAGCACTTACAGCTACAAGGAGCAGGATGGGGAGATCGACACAACTTCAGGTACAGACTTCTCAGTTATCACTGATGGTCAATGCCACAGGATGATGCAGACCAGGGTTTTCATGCAAGACACTAATTGGGAGGGAGCAAAACAAATAGGGGATTCACACATCCCTGTGTTCTGAGATTTCCAAGTAGCCTGTTGGAAGGCTGTAAGGAATTTGTTGATAAAAAGGAAAAGGTGAAAAATGCCTCCAGTAAGAGCATACTAGAGATTTGTCCTAGGGTTATACACATGTAAGTTATGTCAGCTTTCAGAAACTCCTTGCAATGTAACTGAAGAATTTCCACAAGCAATAGCTTAAACAGGACTGTTTAACAGAGAGCGTTTGAAGTATTTTAGCAAAATATTAGTCTAAGGTATTTACTCACATCTGAGAAATCTTTCAATTTTTTATATATTTTTTTTCTGTATGTATATATATGTACACACACGTATACACTATTTTGCTCTTGCTGTATGTGATTCAGTACTCATTCTTGTTTTATTTTGTCTAGGAGAGCTGGAGTTCAGGTTCTTAGACCAGAAAAGCAGTCTAGACTTCTCCTGGCTGGAGACAGTGAGACCTACCATGCAAGTCATTCCCTGTGGCTTGTAAAGCCCTGGCTTCCTCTGACCACAAACTGCTCTTGAGTAGAAACTTTGGCAAGCCTGAAGAAAATGGAAGAAGTTGTTTGTTACTGACTGAACAAAGACCGTAGCTTTTATATTCCGTTTAACTTTTAGGACTGAAAAGGTTAGCAAGAAAAACTCCATTATAAGAAAAAAAAAAAAAAAAAAAAAGGACTCCCATCTCACTAGCAGGACTCCTGGCACCAAAGATGCTCAGCCACAGTACGCACCTTGTCATTGCTTCGGAGGTGAAGCTTTTGCTGGGGGGTTGCTGATGTGCTGTGGGGTCTGACCTGGTGGGTACCACTGACCGTGTGCCAGAGGCCAGGGGAGGACGTTACCGTCCTCCCGGCACGAGATGCGATGAGCACTTTACCCATGGAGTGCTTAGGAGAGACACTGCAACTGAGTCTCTTACCTATTAGTTTGGGTTGCTGCTTACTTGTGCAACACTGGTGATACTGAGCTTAACGACTGTCATTATACTTAGAAAAATTGCACTAACTGGCCCTCTCTTCTTTGATTTACTCCATCATGTAGTTCATCTTTTGGATCTTTCAACTTTAAACTGTGTAAATAGTTTAGACCAATAAAATGTGAAAATTCAGTTTAGGCTTTGCTTCTACATAGTACAGTTACCCAGACCCCCTCATAGGATGTTACCTGCTTGTAGGCATGCCGTATCTATTTCCATATAATAGTTGAAGAGCTGCCACATGAAACAATTTTTGCACTGATGGGGCAGAGCTCTTTATTTATACCATGCCTGAGATCCCTTCTACCACTCTACCAGGATACCTACAGTACTGTACGCAGTCATGGGAGCTGTAACACCCTGCAGACCCACCCTGGGCCAGTGTGTGCAGGAGAGTGCAGGGTGGAAGAGGTTCTAGTTTGTGTGTAATACATAGGAATCAAATCACTAAGCTGTTATAGACTATTTTCATGTACATTTTATTTTTGTATATAACACATTGTATATTTGTTTTAATAAAGATGTTTTATATATGACATGTTTACTTTTTCTCATGGGAGAGCTCTGAGAATGCATTCTGGATTCCTTGAAAATACCCAAACAGATGTGACAGAGACAGTTGGAGGTTTTTTTTTTTCATGAGTCATGAAAGCACAGGGAATTTAGTACAGTTTGCTCTTGTTTTCCACCCCCCTGCCAGTGCAGCTGATGGGTGGAATCCTGCTTGTCCTGGGAAGGGAAGCCCCAGTCCTGTGCATGTGTGGGATAGATGGTTTCTATCTGCCATCATCTGCAACTGTCAGACCTAACTTACAGCAGGGTTAAAGGCTATGCTATTAAAAAAACCTTATGCACCACCAAGTCCCTGCTATGATGTCCCTATCAGCAACACTTCCAGCTTCTGTGATAAGAGCAGTGAAGACCTAGCCAAATATCTCCGGTTTGCCTAAAAAGAAAGTGTATGCACAATTCAGAAGGCAAGGGGAAAGCAAGCTGGTTTTCCCCTGTATATTTTATTCATTTGCCATAATTTCAGGCTGGAAAGGTCTGACATTGCATTGTCTGGGCTGGGAGACAAGAGACAAATGTGGCTGAGGGAACGTGTCTCCAGCTGCAGCCACCAGCACCTGACACTGCCTGGAAAACCCCCGTACTGAACAAAGCTGGGTCGTGATGGCCTTTGGGGAATAACTTCATTCACTGAGCAAGAGCAAGGAGAATATCAGGCTGCAGGAGAGGAAGACCCAACTCAAAGGGCAGGAACACAGCAGACATTTCCTACCGCTTTTGGCAGAGGCTCCGCTGCGACTCGAACTGCACACATGTGGGGACAGATGTGGGGTTTACCAAGGGAAAAAATAAGGAAGCAGGTGGTGGCGAGGCTCAAATCCAGCACAGTTTGGATACGGCACAGCAAGGTGGATGGGCAGCCCGGGCAGGGAGAGGCTGGGCAGGGTTCTTGCGGTGCCTGTTAGTCATTAACTGGCCCTATCTCTGAGACAGCCCAAAGTTGGCAGCGGCAGGCAGCACCCTTCCAGGTGGCACCAGGCAGAGAGCAGCTTCCTGCGCCTCATCCTGGCTCCGCGTGGGTGGCAGCCTGGGGGGGGTGATGTCCTTGCTGTCCCCCCCCATGGCAGTCACAATCCCTGGCAGGGTATCTGCCCCAAGGGTCCACCTCCCAGGAAGGGATCCGGCCAGCCAGGATCCCCCCTGGGGACCAGGGGCACGGCTGCCTCGGATCACACCCACCTAAAATCCTGCACGACTCCCCGATGCAGATCTAGAGCAGGAACTTTTTGTACACGAGCAAAGAAATCACCCACCAGACCAGATTTATGCCCTGGCCAGCTGCAGCGGCAGCTACTGCCAAGGAGAGAGCGTGGGGCTGCTGGGTCCAGAGCCACCGCTGTACGCCCGGGAAGGGACACCAGCTCAGTGCCGTCAACACAACCAGGGGCAATCGGTTTTGTTTAGGAACTGCTGCAAGTTTGTTACGCATGGGGGAGGAGGCGGGAGAGAGAAGGGAAACTTTCTATGATGCGAACAGTGCTAAAAATAAGGTAGACATTAATCTGTCCATTCATGCATTAAAAGGAGCAGGTTTTTCACAGTTATGCTCAGATACAAAAAACCAGCACTTAAGTTCTCACAGATAAAAAGATTTGACCAAGATCTGAGGACAGAAGAGAACAGCAGCTAGTATGTGTCACCCAGGGACCACAGACACGCTCCAAGTGTGTTTTTACCAGGACAGAAGAGATGCTTTCCTTCATCACCTGCCAAGGTACCTGCCTGACTGACCGCACATTAGGTATTTTGCCAGTGAAAAGTGGTGAAGTCTCATGACGGGGTGGCATTTATCCATCCAGTTGCTTCACTGGGTGAGTAACTGCCAAATTCAAAGTATTTTGTTGTTGTTTCTGTTGTTTTGAACTCTTTGGGAGGAGGGGGAAAAAAAAAAAAAAGCAGAGTTGAGCTCTCCAGCTCAAGAGGGATGTGACTTGCCAAACCCCAGTGAGACTCAGAGGCTGCTGCACCGTGTCGATGCCTGACTGGCTCCTCCATCACCTCTGGGGCAGATGGGGTTTCTAGAAGCAATATTTCTTCTCCCAGTGCCAACTAAGGAGACCTTTAGGCTGCTTGTACCCAGAGGAGCATCATGAACTCTTTAGGATAAACCTCCTGCATAGGCTATGCAATGAAAACAATTTTAAAACCTTGACATTGACTTCTTCTGCACTTGCCTATCCTAATCAAGCTCTTCATACCCAGTAAACTTCAGCTGGCTATCCTGTGTTGGAGTAAGAGTTGTTTTCACCTTTAACATGCACACAGCTACATTGAGCTGGGAAGTAATTACATGCCAGGAGAGCAGGTCATGGAAGAGAGCTCACCCCTGCCAAACCCAGGGAAAGTAATAAAAGGAAAGTTTTTATGGGCAGGGCTTGAAGGGCAAGTGGCTCTTTCTTGTGCTATGAACCTTGCCTGGCGGTGAGAAAGATCTACAGGCAATACAACTGTTGTAAAAATAGAGATCACCTCTCTATGGTGGAAAAGAAAAACAAGTTGTATCAGTCATCGTTTGGGAAATCAATGGAGCTAATCCTGCAGGCTTGGCAGGCTGCTTGAGCAGAGGCTCTCCATCACTTACACCATACTTAAACCATCACTGGCTGCAGCTTACTTGCAAACCTTGAAACCATTTAAAAACAAATCCAAAATTGTCCTTATTGAGTTTTAGAGCATTAGGATGTCAACAGGACAAAACCTCCTGAAAAATAACACGACAGTCTCAGAAACAGTCCCACAACCTGAACCTGGGAAAGCCCTACAGCAACTCAGGCACAGATTTTGCTGCTGCAGCATCCTGCACTGAGGTGGCAGACGACCGCCTTGGTCTTGCCAATAGAGATTTTCAGTGCTGCAGAGGCAAGGATATCACACATCTGTTAATTGCAGTTTTTCCTAGTAAAAACCCTTGACCTACAAATAGAGAGTTGTTGCTTTTCCCTTGACCTTTGTCCAAATGGATTGTTAAAATGCCCTTCCATAATTAGAGGGGAACATAACTTCCTCCCCTGTGGTCTGCTTTGCACATTGCTTGTAATTTAATCACTCATTAGGGGCAACCTGTGAGCAGCTCAACACCTAAAGGTGCTGCCTAAAGGAGTCTTTTGCTCTTGGCTGCCCAGAGCAGTGGCACCTTGCGTGAGATTTGCCAGCCAGGCAGCAGAGCCTGCAATTAGTGTTTCACCTTTATTTGCCATCGTGATTGAATCCTGATAGTTGGACACATTTCCAGGCAGTCACATGATTTACGGTATCACACCTATAAAGGATAGCAGTGCTTCGGACCAAAGGTATGAATTTATAACTGCAAAAAATAGTGGAATATTTGTTTGTGGTGCAAAGGCAAACTATTGCTTAGATAGCAACCAAATATCTTGGACTGCAAACTTTATTTCTCTGCTGTTGTGCTGGATCATTCTTCCTCTCCAGTTCCCCAAGGGTCCATTTTCCCCCCCCCATGTTTGTACGTACAACACAAGGAGGACAGAAACTTCTGCAGGACAGAAACCTCTCCCAGAGGCTTAGGAGGGCCAAGGGAAGAAGTATTGTCTGTAGAAAAGTCAGTTTTAGAGTTAGATGGGGAAAAGTCTTCCCTAGAAAGGGAGGAAAGTCACATTTTCATGGACAAATTGTATCTAAGCTGTATTTTCTCTTACACCAAGTGCTTCAGTCGACTCTGTACTCACTTCCACCATAGCACTGCACTTCAGAGCTCCTTTCCCTCCTACATTTTCCCCATCCTCTTCATTATTTCTCTCACCATTAAACTCACCCCTGTCCCTCCCCATCCTTCCCATGTGCGAAACAAACAATAACAAAAGCATGTTCATGCAGGCAGCACGCTGTGTGTAGCTCAAGCTACTTGCACACTCTAACCTTTGGTCTTTTCTGTTCCAATAACGTCAGGATGCAAATTCAGCCAGTGTGGTTCCCTGGCACATTGGGCTGCGGGTGGCCACCCGGAGCTGCTGGGAAGGGATGGGGAAATCTTCCCATGGCCCCTTCCAGAGTTCAAACGAGAGCATGGCACGCACTGCCACCGAGCTGAACGCTCACAGGCCACATGAACCTGAGCCAGCAGAAGCCAAAAATCATCCAAAACCT